GACTTTATAAATAATAGATGGGTTGGAGTAAAAACACAAATAAAAGAAAATGAGTAGAGGTGTGGTCATCAACATCCTGCTATTTGTGCTTATGGTGGCTGTGCAAGCCAAAGTTGACAAAGATTGCGAACTTAAATGTTTAAGCACATGCTTGGGTAAAATTCGAAGAGTTTATTTATTTGAATGTTTAAAAAAATGCAAGATACTTACTCATGATCATCAGACAACATTTTCCTCATCTGGTAATATATTTTTATCGAATAATACTTCAAAATTTTAAATGAGTTGGTAGATTATCTAAGTATTATCGATTTATTTTAATTTTTTTTAGAAAATTATAGAAACAAAATTTAAAATATACTACTTACAATTAGATAGTCTACTAACTAATATGTAACCTAATAAATCTTTTTTTTTTGTGCATAGTGTTTTTATTCATTCTTACATTATTTATCTTTTACCAATAGTTATGATAATATCTGATAAATGTTACAGATCTCAACGTCAAATGTTGTTCGGCATATTCCTGTGAGACAAATGAGAAAGTTACTTAACATGTATGTAATAAGTACATTAATCATTTAGATGTGTACTCTTTTTATGTAGCAGCCCCGGAAATTCATAATGGAATTTATATTATAAATATCAAATGCGGAAGCGAAGTCAAAATTTGAATAACATCCCTTACACTGAAACCGAAACTTGCTCACAAAATATAAAAGATTAAACTACCTAAAGGAGAAACTTGAAAGTAAAAACTACGAATGTGACTATGGAGTCTTTAGGCGTCCCCTTCGTCGTCCTCCTGCGGAATCGGCTCGGGAACGATGTCCTCTTGATCTGAAATGATTAAATAAGGAATGAGCTACACTATCCCAGTAAAGACATCACGATATCTCACCGTCACGGAGGTAAAGGTGGGTAAAAAACACAAAAAGACCAATGGAGCATAATTTACAACAAATCCTTTTAGCGATAAATAAACCTTTACCATTTACTTGCCTCGGTGAAATTCATAAAACAATATACGAAAGCAATAACATCATCATCATCATGGAAACATATATATGAACTGTATAACATAATACCTATCGCACTTTTCGTAATTCAATCGTTACACAACATATTTTCCTAATTCACCAGCCCACTAGTATCCATGGGGATCCATAGGGGTCCCGCTACCCGTTAATCCTTAACACTTGAAATCAAATTCCAGGGCCATCCCCATACCCCGTCCGGTATGGGCGCCAAAACACATAAGATCTCCATACCCCGTCCGGTATGGGAGACCACAATCCCGGTAGGGTTCCCTACGGACCCGGTCCGTCCACCATCTCCCAGGATATCTAGTCAGGCTGACCACATTATACCATTATCCATTTACATAATTGTTCATTCTCTTTTTCCTCAGTCAGCATCATTAATCCACATACAAGCAAGCAAACAGTAATTTATGCTAAACAGACAACATACAGCATCAATATCCCGGTCATTTAATCCATAATCAATAAAACAGTAAAACATGCACACGAAACTATAAAATGAAAACATCGAACCTCATGCTACATTTAAAACTGTAAAACATGTCAAATAACAGTTAACCGACAAATACACTAGACTTGGGCTCCATTAGCGACCTTAAGCAATTTCACACATTCGTTGATTCATGAAATACCGTTTTATCATTTATTGAACTTTAAAACCGTGATAGGAAATAAGGTGAGGGGTCCTTACTCGTTCCGAGGTCCGAACACGGCTTCACAGTGCGCTTGCAGGCTGTCCCTAATTTTTCCTGAATTTTCCTCGGGGAACTGAAACGCACTACTGGTACCTGCACGTGTTCCAAAAAAATCCCAAATTAGGCCCAGGGCCCCTTTCGGCCCTAATCGCAACTCCGGCACGGCGGCTCCGCCGTGCTCCGGCGACGGCGCCGCCGCTGGCGGCGGCGATTCGCCTCGGGCTGGCTGTTTTCGGCCGTTTCTGGTCGAATTCGGCCACACTCGCATCGGTCCCTGCGAGAAAACAACCCTAGGGCCCTCGGGGGGCCAAAAAATCACGAAAAAACGGGGCTTACCGGCGGCGGCGCTCTCGGGTGCGGCGGCTCTCTGGCGAGGTTCGTGTTTTGGTGATTCGGCTCCGGTCAACCTGTAGAGAAAAGAGTGGTGATCACGGTGATATAAAAATTGCATCAAACGGAGGCCGGGAAGGGCCTCATCGGAGGCAAAAACCGAGAAGGGCGCGGCGACGCCGCTGGGCTTCGACCGTGCATTCCGGCCGTTTGGCCGGGATTTTGGCTCCGATTTGGCCACAGGAGGAATCAGCGTGGAAAAACGAGTTGGGGGTACGAAATTTACCTCGATCGGCGGTCGGAAGTTCCTCCGGTGCGGCGGCGGGTGGCGGCGGCCGGCTTCTGGTTCGTCTTCTCCGGCGAGCGGCAGGCGGCTAGGGTTTGTGGTCTGGTGTGGGGCTTCTATTTATAACCCCTTGCCTTTTGATCTCAGCCGTCCATTTTGTTTTAATCTGGGCCGTCCGTTTTTGATTAAATCTGGGCCGTCCGTGCGTTTAAATCTGGGCCGTCCGATCGCACGCTTGATCTGGGCCGTCCGATCGCGCCCACGCGGATCGCCAACGTGGCCCTTTTTGGAACGATGTGGTTTTGCCACGTGGCAGGTCCCGGTTGGCCGGGACTGCTGACCGGGCCTGCTGACGTGGCTGCCGACGTGGTTTTTTTTTTTTTCCTTCTTCTCGGTCCGGGCGCTACATTTTATGCTAGTAAATGAATTGAGTTTCTTTTCTAAAATTTTTCACATTTTAAATTACAAATAGCTATTTAAAAATTTTCACATTTGAATTACAAACAGCTATTAAATTAATGTTAATTAAACTCAATAGAATCTATTTTATACTAAAAATATGACGGATCAATTTTATCTAATTAGACTAAATATGCACAATTACTATTCTAAGTAGTATAAGCTGAGTTGAGATCACGTTACAAGCTTTTAACTTTATCTTGGCTAATTTTTATTTTTAATTTTTTTTTAAAAAATGTTATTATTATTATTATGGGAGAGAATGGAAAAAGAGAGAGAGAAAAAAAAACAAATAAGAAAAAAGTAAGTTAAAAATAAGAGAATGAGAGAGAAAAATAGTAAGTAAAATAAAAAAGAGAAAAAATAATTCAAAATAGAAAAAGAAGAGAAGACTGAGAGGAAAAATAATCCAACCTAATAAATATATACTCTAAGGTAAAGAGATTTATTTTATACAAATATGTAAAATGGGTGAACCAAAGTGAAAATCTTACTTTGTATTTCAAGCACTCAAAGGTAACAATAATAATATTTATTAATAGAAAAATATTTTGCTTTATAGACAAATCTGCAAATATGTATGAAAAATATAAGCTAGAATGAGAAATCATGCAATGTTGAGGAATATATATCAAAGATAAGTTTAAATCCTCTTTCTCAAGTCAACTACTTGATATTTAATTGCTTTCTTCAACCTCTTACAATAATTCACAATAATTTGTAGGATATGCATATACATAATACAATCATTCACATTTTGAATTAAATTAAGTTGGATGAAATAAATATCTCTACATCTTTTATAATCAGCAAGAGATTCAAACATATCTCTAAATGTAAATAAATCAAAGTAATCTTAATTTCAATTATCAAACACATATTTTCCTCCAACATATCTAAGATTTGGCTTAAAAATAAATTGTCCTCTGTGATGCAGATCAATATTATATAACTTTTTCATATGTTACAAATTTTAAAACATAAATCAAATTTGAAAATTATGAAATAATTAATAGAAATAACCACACAATATTACTTTAGAAGTTAGTAAATTATCAAATACAGAGTCAATGCATTCATGTTTTGTAGCACTAAACGATTTGAAGTATTATGTTAATTAGTTAAAAATTGTGTAGCATTAGACAAGTTAAAGTACCATACTTTTGTAACAAAAGATTTACACTAAGCAAAAGATATACATGGAAAAGCAATTTAATTAAGAAAGAAACCCCAAGAAGATACTAAAATTTAATTATGCAAAAGATATACATCGATAAATAATTATTAGGTCAAAGATGAAACTACTCTAAATAGAAAGGAAATGTAGAGGGGAATGTTAAAACTTAAAATCTTCCATAAACTGAAAGAAAAATGGTGAAATTTTTCTTTATAAATATGACAATGTGTGACAGGCAGGGAGTTCAAGAGAGAGGAAGAATATAAGGGTTCTTGAAAAATGAACAACTTGTTTTTATTAATGAGAGGTTTAGTATTTAGACACAGAGTCTAATATCAATTAATTACTTTAATGCTGATATACACAGAGTCTAATATCAATTAATTACTCTAATGCTGATTAATTAAAAATCTAATCTAAACTAACTCAACTAATTACAACTACTTTAATGTCTGCTGATTAATAAATTATATATTGTCTAGTTTGGTGTAACGATTGAGAAGTGTAATTAATAAAATATTTTTATGCGATTAATAAATTTATGAATAAAAATATCAGTTCAAAAAGAAATATATAACAATTTCGTTTGAAAATTAAATACTTCTGAAATTATAGAAATTTAGGAAAAAACTATTTATAGGGGTTAAAAGTGAGAACAATTTAGGAAATTAGGAAAGTTGTAATTTTCAGAAGGATCAAAATAAAAAAGAACACCCAAATTTAGGGTAAAAGCTAGAGTTTCAAAAATTCCAATACCTGAGCAGCTGAGGTGTTCTGAGGAACCAATCAAAGAAGACATATCGCAGAGAAACGTCATAATGAGTCATTTTGCAAATGAACGGGCCTGATCTTGCCACGCATACACCTCGTGGCAGATCCGATGGTTAGGAACAAAAAGGAATGATTTGAACAGCTTTGATCTAGCGTCACTCGCTGGACGACCACGATTTAATTAAGCTGAGTATTTAAGGGATCATTTCACAGAAAAAAAAAAAAAAGAAATCGGAGGAGAGAGACAGCTGGTGGGAGAAGAGAGAGAGAGAGAGAGAGAGAGAGAGAGAGAGAGAGAGAAATACAGCTGAGCAAGTGATGCCGACTGAGTAGAGTTTAGGCAAGAGACAATCAAGGGTCTAGGGTGGAGGAGGCATTGCGTGGAATCTCGTTGGAGAACAGACACGGACGGGAAGGGTTGAGAAGGAGGGACCGTCACTACAAAGCAAAATGGATCGGAGGCAAGAGGTAAGTGAAATTTGACCTTCAAAACCCGGATTTGAAATTATGAATACTAAATTTCTCCGCGAAAATTATCATGAATGCTTGGTGGAACTGACTGCTTGTAGAGTTTTGTTGATTATATACATTGATGGAAAGAGAGTTGAGCATGTCAAGAATAAATTGACTTCTAACAGAAAGGAAGAAATGTAATTAGTCCGAGATTAAGGAACTTTTAATCTGATTTGGTGGAGGAGGAAAAATGAATTTGAATTGAATTCTGGGAACTTATGATCTTTTTAGGGTGGTGAAAGATGAATGAGTTGGAATTAAATCCAGAGGATTTAATATGTTTAGGTGGGAAAAGAATGATAAATTGAAAGTGAATTCAGAGAGCTGTTAACATGTTTAATGTGGATAAAGAAAAATGAATTGGAAGTAAATTTTAGGGAGCTTGTGACTGCTCAGAGTAGGAAAGTAGTAGACATATCAGAGTTGGGAAAATTTCCAGAATGGAAGGCTAGAATGCCAAATGAGATAAAAAAAAATAAAAAAAAGGAAGAGGAAATCGACAGATTATACGGGTATATGAGGATGGTGTAGTTCTTGGCTGCATATTTCTCAAACCCTTTTGTTAGATATATCTTATTATTCATTGTTGTTTATGGTTGAAATCTGGTTGATGAATTATTGTTTGATAATTACCTTAAATTCATGCATATTTGAGCGTTTAGGTGCGTGTTATGAGCCTTTTAGAAGACAAAAATTGATCTAAGTATAAATTCACAAATCGGGTTTAAGATATGTATGGTTTAGATGATCCTGAAGTATGATTTTCTAATTTTTTGTAGAAACTGATCTGGCATTTATTATGGATTCTTGGTGGTTTCTCTTGATATGGATGGATATATTCAGAATGGTTGTATGTATGATCATACATATGTGTGCGTGTAGGATTGTGACTGTGTGAGTTGATATAAATATGTGAAGTGTAAAGTGTGTATCTGGGCCGCCTGCTTGGGTTGAGGGATGAAATCCTGAATGGTTGTGTGTGTTGGCCCATCTTCTTGGGTCAAGGGGTGAAAACTTGAATGGTTGTGTGTGTTGGCCTGCCTGTTTGGGTCGAGGGGTGAAAACCCGAATGGTTATGTGTGTATTGTGCATATGTTTGTTGCCAGTAGAATATGCCATAAGAGATTGGTGTGGTTGTGGCCTTTATATCGTTGGTCATATACTTGTTGAATAATTCTTAACTTCACCATAAGGAGGAGGGTGAGCAAGGATGACCTGGGCATGTTATGGAGCGTTTTTGGGTAAGGGATTGAGGAGTAAGTGTTAATGAGTATTGACAGAAGCTATGAAATTAGAAATTAAAGGTTGATGATCAGAATAAAGGGTGAATGAGACCCAAAAGAGATTGAAATGGTAAATGAGATGAATTTAAGAAATGTGAGTAATGGGCAGACAGTGTAGGATGTTGGAGTGTGAGGCGAGTGAAAGTTTGGGATATTTATCTCACCCTTTCTATACATCTTCAGATACTGAAGATACTGCTGCAGAGTGAGCAATGATATAGAGAAAATTTTTGAAATTAGATTCTAAGATTAAGGTTACTGTTTTGTACTTTTGTTTAGTACTGTAAGTAAGAAAATTTAGAAACTCGTACACATGGTTAGGTTTTATATTTAAGGGATATAACGCTTCTGTAACTCTGTTGTGATTAATAAAATTAAGTTATTTTACTTAACTTGAGTCTATTTGATTTAAGAAAATATGTTCCACTCATCACCCTATAATATGGGGTATGTCCGTAACAAATGTACTTACCAAGAAAACTCCCAAATTATTTAGTCATAGTTTTCGGCATACAGCCCCTCGAGAGTGCATGAACTTTAATCCAGAAGTGACAATCGT